CATGTAGGCCAGTCGCACCGACACCATCCCGTTGCCCTTGCTTTCTCTCATAGCATCGCATAAGTTGTTGCTATTACGAGCAACCGCCTGGCGGCGTGGAAAGCTTTTCGAGGCCCTAGAATCGATCAAGATTCTAAAGGGGTGATTGTATCCCTGTACACATCCGTGTACTACCGAGTGCGAAGACGCAAAAGGGGCTACGTCCCCGTGGTAAGCGCCCCCGCGTACCTCCCAAGAAGGGTATATTATTTCCCAGTAGGGTGGCCCGCCCCTACTAGTCTGGATTTTGCCAGCGGCCCTGGGGACGGGCTTGGGAAAAGTCCACCTGCGAGGTCTCACCGCGGGACAGTCACGCTTGAAGTAGCCCAGCTTACCGCAGCTGAAACAGCGATTTTCGCGCTGTTCGGCGGATCCGAGCTCCGTAGAAACCGGTCCTATGCGGTTGGCTCGACCGGGATTCAGCACAAAATTCCCTGGCCACGCTGAGACCGGCGTACGCGCCTGGTAATGGCTGTACTCTTCTTGGAGATCCACTTGAATCGCCTCTTCGAGAGTGCTTGACCGCACCCGGAACATCTGAGAGCGCGCCGGGTCCACGCAAAGGCCGTCCATGAACACTGTCACCTTGATGTGTTCGTTGAGTGGGATGCCCACTAGGGACGCCGTGAGATCCGACATCTCTTGGACGTACTCATGCAGATCGCGCTTTCCTTGCTTTCATGAGAGGAGGCACAAGCGCTTCCAGGACTCGTAAGTCACTGGGAGGAACGCGGTCCGAAGCTATTCGCACAGCTGATCCTAATATGTGAAAAATCGAGGCGATGTTGCCTCCCGCGGGCACGCTCAAACCTTAGCACGACCGCTAATGTTGAAGAGCGCAAAAGCAACACGGAGTCGCTCGTTCGAGACCAGGGTCGCGTCCTTTGCAAGCTCTACCTCTCGAACCCAGAAGTAAAGGTTCTCACCTTCTATCCCTTCATACGGCTTCACATTCAGTCTTATTGGCTTCGAGTCTGGCGGACTTGCTTCCGCCGCCGGAATCTGCAGGGTTCCCCGCGCATGTCCGATGAACCCTCGCTCGAAGGCGTCAAACGCATTGACGCGCTCGAGGTGCTCGGCCGGTCTTGACGCCACCAGGCTCTGCAGGGCATTTATTTCAAAGGTTCCAGCCATCTTTTGAACCGACACGAGCTGTGAGTCGCTCAGATGGGAGAAGTCGTTCCTCTCCATGGCGACGAGCTTTAGAGAGGCGCAGAAAGTCTACCCGCGTTGGCGTGGATTGACTACAAGTGCTACCAACTGTGACGGGGTCACACAGCACCTTGCGCGTGAGGAAGTCGAATGCCGACAGTTTATAAACTCTTATGAACAGTAGCTCACAGGCCCCTTCTGTCGAAGCAGGGAAGTAACAATTTTAAGGTAATTTGTAACTGAACGTATTTATAGGCAGGATAAGCTTGAGTTAACTACACAAACTATAAGTCACCTTTAGGGGGAGGTCGGAGTACAAAAAGAGCAAATAAAAAAGAGCATTGCAGCGGATCTAGGTCGAGGTAAAATACCTGTTTATTTAATGTCAAAATCGGTATGTACCGGTAAATTGAGCTCACATTCAACGATTCGCGATGGAAGGAGGACACGGTGCTCATGGAGGCGATCCCCCCTCTCCAGAAGAAGACTTTGCGGCTGACCCTCTTGGCAAGGCTCTTACTGAGAAGGCACCTCGCTTGGTGTGGACTGATTCACGTCTGCGTACTCAACTCCACCTCCGTTTGATTGCGTACGGTGATCAATTTAACAAACACAAGAGCAGAGCGCAACTGACTGTACTGTGGAGCCGTTTGGTCCGTCGTTTTAACAAGCAGCATGAAACCAAGGCCGTTGTAGATCAGTTACGTAACAAATTCAATGCTATGAAGGCGCTGTTCGGCCAGATCCGCGCCGACGAGGCTACTACGGGAAACTTGGAAAAAGCGGTGAAGTATCCGAGCTACTGGTCAGTGCTCGTCGAGTTTTTTGCTGATAAAAAGGGGCTGCGTAACCAAGCATATCTTGAAACCCTTGTATCACCTCCGCTATCTCGTCGTCCGTGGACGGTAATCGAATAGTCTCTGACGAAAACGATGTCACCACATGAACAACTTGGCGAATAAAAAGTAGTGCTTGCGTTTTGCCAGCGCCAACAATCTGTCCAGCCGCGTATGCACTGCCGCCGTGAGTGACATAATAAAAGGCCACCGCCACTCGATCTCTAATAGGAAAATGTGCGTTATGGCGAGGGGCTGGGCGTACGCTCGGCCATCTCTGCTCGATACGGGATACAATAGCCAGGAAAGTTGCACGATTGCACCGAAAATTTACTGGAAACGAGCCGTCTGCAAATATGGGGTCATCTAGAACTCACTGCCATGTTGTGTTCCGTACGGAGAAGCGTCGGGAAGGTTTCCTGGGCCATTGACGCTTGTCACTGGCAAGAGTAGCCACTGCGGCAAATACAAGGGAGAGCGCAGCCAATTTTTTCCTCCCCTTCATGTGTGATCTCTTTTTTTAAAAGACCAACCTGTGGTCTTTTTTTAAAAGAGATAACCGAAAATCAGTCGGCCAATCAGGTCCAAGAAAGCTATTTAATTTTTTGCTCTTTTTGTACTCCGACCTCCCCCTTAGTAAAGCAATGCCATCATCCAATGATTGGTCTCTTGATGTGCTAAACTTCATGTATCCAGGTGCACTTGGGGTAACGTACCCCCGATACATATAGAGTCCTCCTTAGTTTTTTTTGTGCTGGGGGGGGGACAGTAACCTGGGTTTTATATGATAATATACTCTAGAAAAATAGGCTCAGATCGGGAAACTCAGCAAATTGGGTAGACAAGACGAACGTTCTAGCCTCCCTACCCTCTGTGGTCTACAGTCTAGCTCGGCTACACTTGCGTGGAGAGCTCCACGTGCGGGCCCTTTCTCGGCTTTTCTTACAAGCCGCAGGGTCCCTGATACATACATGTATTACCTCTTTCTTGTTCCTGCGGGTCAAAGGCGAAATTAGCTTTCTTGCTTACAAACAGTATTGTGTAGTCTTTTGCACAATCCGAAGAGCTAGTGCGGTATTCCAATACTACATGTATTGCACTGAGCTCTTCTTTGCAATAAGATGCTTTACTATGCTGTCAAAGAAATGTACCTGGGTCATTTTGTGGTTAGCAATGTCCATTTACTATTTTAGGTCGGGAAGAACACGAAGAGCACCAACATTGGAGCTGGAACTCCCAAAGCACGCTAACGTATACGATACGTGCTACTACGTTCTCTATGCTTTAATGCCTTGAGAGTAGATTGCCTTGTTTCCTTCATGCTCCCCATGGGACTCTTCGCTCTTCCCATCTTCCGTCCACAAAAGTCGTAACACCTCCCTGGGTCTGATAAGGTAGTCCTGGGAGACGACAACACAGTGAAGCTTGACAAACATAGCTCGGTGCGTCTTTGGAATTTGTAGTTTCCCCCATCTTTTGATTTTTTTTAAAAAGGAAACATTGATTGTCTTAAAAGACCAGTGAATGCTTCTCATTATTAATAATGCTTTGAGTTTATGTAGCAGGCGGTGCTCTTGAGTTTGTGTGTATGTTTGTGTGCGGGAATGCAACTACCAATGCCATTTCGAGCTCCTAGAGCTGAGTTGCGAAGAGAAAATATTAAAAAATCGGAAATAGCTGTGCCGCTGTTGACGCGGCCGGTGCTGTTGATGTGGCAGTTCATACAATGCCGTTGTTTACGCGGCCGGTGCTGTTGATGTGGCCGTTCATACCATGCTGGCGTTGTTGAATTGTTTATGGAGAGCCTGTACTCAAAGTGACGATGACCTTATTGAAGCCTCGGTCGTAATATCGCTGCCTAATACTTACAAATAAATATTTATTTAAAAAATACTCGTTTTTGTTGGATGAACCAGAACGCTGCTTTTAGCTGCGAAGACTACGAATAATAAGCAAGACTACCAAGGTCTCGGAGCAAATATCGCGGCGCCGGAGCATTGTCATCACCAAAAATCTCTATCCGTGCTTAAAAAAGGTTGAGTCAGAATATATTACGGGTCATCTTACAAATTATGATGACGGATAGATCCAACAAATGCCAACGAGATTTCGCTCGAGAAATTCTTTTGTCGAATAAGCCAGTTAAGGCTTGTCCAAAATTCCCCTAAGAGCGATAAACCTCGTCCATCCCTGGTATTACATGTATATAATAATATCAGCTCGAATATATTAATAAATGACACACATATTAATCACGAATGACATGTGTTAAACCTCAGTAGTATGTCTGACACGGATACTTGAGTACACATGTAGCTCAATTATAAACTTGGCGTGTTAAGATCGGTGAGGTGTCGTCCGTTTTATTTGGTCGCTAAACATCTAACGTCGCAAATCAGACTCCTATTATTTATTGTGGACTATGTAATTACCGACCTGACCGCCCGGTTATTTAGTTGCTTGGGTCTCGTACAGCAGCACCTCAACCAATGCGTTTCACATTATGCTGGACATCAGCGATTTTATCCTCTTTACTCTCCAGCGAACATTCCACCCATTAAGTATCAACGTACACGACACCAGCAACCCTGCCGTTTCGTAAAACACATTACTTCGTATCTGATCTATTACCCCTTCTTAGTGATACCAGAAAATACATTACAGCAAACAAGAAAGCTCATCGAGTCTACACTGCACATCAGGGAAACTTTTCTCAATGTAGCAGCTGTGGAAAACGTTGTCAGGCCGTCGGCCAGCGCTGTGATTCTTGCAGGGGAATAGCTCGCATGTATGTTATACAGTGCATGCAGTACCGTAACGAGGCGGACAATGTCTCCCTCAGTCACTGGTATTGTAGTATTACTGTAAAGTTTACAGTGTAAACTCGTGCCATCGCCCTCCGGTTCACTCTGTGATGAGCTATCACTTCACTTTTTCCTTTCAAGACCACAGACTATCCTTCTCTCTCCAGTCATGCGCAGTGTATTCTACGTTGTTATTGCCTTTGCAATTTTAGTGAACAGCAGCGGCGTCACAGCGATCCCGAATCCCATCACTGAGTCTCAACTCTTGTCGAAGGCATCCCCTGACCCTGCGGCGAAAAGATCTCTCCGGAACGCAGGCCAACAAGTTGTTCAGAGCCGCCCGACGGACGGGAACGGTGGAGTCTTCAAAGCTTTCAGTGGTACAAACAAACTCATAAAGCTGCCAGACATGAAAACAAGCAACGTTCTCGAAGCTGCCAAGAAGGTGAAAAAGTTGAAAGAGATGGACAAGTTAAAAAAGTTGATATAGTCCTCAAAGTAGATTCGGGAGCGAGAGTAAAAGACGCGATGAAGTGATGTTGGTGTTCTTTTTTGTAAAATCAACAGCATTCAGGGTACGAACAAGTTAGAGTACGATGTATTAATACTACTTCTTTTTCCATTAATCATCAAGTGAATGATTGATCGCCATCAAAAATGATATTGACGAATCAAATGTACTACCTCCAGGATATTTACGTGCATACTACGTAAATACCCTGGAGGTAGTATTACATTTGATTCGTCAATATATGAGAGCATTGGCGGAAAAGGCAATAGCATATTTAATTTTTCTCACCGTCAAAAGATGCACCGAATATCAGGCGAAGTAAAGCTGTTGGTATCGTGTTTCAAGGCTTAATAATGCCGCTACTAATATCAGCTGTACAATTTCATCATGATTTGTCCTATAAATAAGGACGATATAAGATGCAAGATCTTCAAATTCCGAGTGATTTTGTCCTCAAGTATAGAGCCAAACTTCACGCGCGGCAAGCTCAAAAGCCTTTGTCGAATATGACACCCGACGATGGGATTGAAATTATACTTGACTTTACAGTCGAGCTGCGGGCTTTTGACATTAACTTCAGGACAAAACACTCTCCGGGAAATCATTCAAGACACATTACCGCATAGCAGCTCATGAAATAGCGCGTATGTTTAGAGAAGAGTTGCTATATGGTTGTAGAGCACTAATACAGGGATACATTTCCATATGTCATAAACGTTCTTTTTTGTCCTCAACGCTTTCTTAATGGGATAATTACCGTCGAGTTTGACTACCATATCATGCCCCCCCCCTCCCGGGTTTTACCACCAATGTTAACGAAAATGAACTAAATAGAAGTGTAGTAGCACTGATAAGATGTGTCCCCACGCAAAAGGGTTTACTCACGAATAAAAGCATGTCACCAAAAATAATCGCCACATTCACAATATTTTTTAATTGTAAAATTATGTTTTAACATGAGAAAATACAGTTTGTCTACACTGATTATTTAGAGGTGTCAAACAATTTGAAGATTAATTACTGGAAAATCATCAATATGTTTGACTTCTTCACCGTAAATCCAGGACGCAGTACTTGCAAAAAATGCCATATGCTAGTACAGATCAAAAGTGCTCTTTAACCAATCCACTATGTTCCACTTTTAGATGTTGCACACCAGCTTGGAAGGCAAATACAATGCTGCAATATAGGGATATCTAGATTATATTCGACTTTTCGGTGCCCCAGAGCTTTGTAAACCAGTACGAAATTGTAATTTGTACAGTAGTAGAATTTGATTTTATTATACCTTAGCACAATCTTTAATAACGAAAGGAGAGGAGCGTGGACACACAAACTACTAAGTTCAGGCTCGAAGGTGTCGCAAATTTCGACACACTTGGCGTGATCTGCGGTGGCCCAGCCGAGTTATCTCCCGGGATTAATCATTATAGCAGATAGCTGATACTCTGCTCAGTTAGTGCGTTGAATACATTCCTCAGCAAACAACAAGGACATGTATGACATGGAGTGGGCTTAAAGAATTACTATGCACGTCGAGGCTGCAGGAGCCCAAACCGGCCAAGTTCTACGTGCTCTTCACGACCAAGGAATGAAATATTGATATGCCCTTGGCTCGCAGAGGGGCTTTTAGAACAGGGTTAATTCAAGACTGGTATTTCTGTTAGTTTGTGTCGTGTCTTGTCTCCGACTGGGACAAGAGCCTAGAAAGAAAGAATAGAAAATAAAGTGCAACTTCAACTCAAGCTGCAATGGCGGTCAGCATCCTCAGGCCGACGCCCTTGTCACTCGCCCCCATGCTGACTGCTCATTAGCACGGAAACACTCGACGAATGTTCACTCGCTGCTGCGTTGGTCCTTGGTCCAGGGTAATAGTGCCATTGTCGTGCACCGCAACGATGGTGAATGGCCCGTTAGCCACATTCCGGTGTTTGTTCTTTCTGTCTTTGGCTGGAATGCGAACCATCACGTGGTCGCCTACTTGGTAGAAGTGCTGTAGTCTGGTAGAGTTTGCACGGTCATTCTCTTGTAGAATAGCATCAAAGCGTTTCTTGCACAAGTAGTTCCAATTTGCTTCATAAAGCTTGCGAGTAATCAGATCTTGCCCAAATATCATGTTTGCAGGAGAAGTTCCCAGAATAGTGTGGTAGCTTGCACGTGCTGAAAATGCAGCATACTGAAGTACTTTGCGCCAATCCGCCTCTGGGTTGCATCTGATGCAATTATTCAGCACCAAATGTACACGTTCACAGATAGCGTTCGCTTGTGGATTCTTGGCCGAGATCGCTTTCGGCTTGATACCGTAGCTTGCTAACATCTCTCTGAACTCGCTGGTATTGAACTCATTTCCCCTGTCAAAAATTACCGTTTTCGGACGTGGATATCGACACAGCCATGTCGTATCAAAGTTTTCCGCTGTTGTCCTTCCTTTACTGTCTGTTTGGATGGAAACCTCCAGCCAACGAGTTGCTTCATCGATTACAGTAAGGGCATACTGACGTTCAGCTCCATAGGGACCCATCGTGTCGACATGCACTACGTCGAACGGATCAACCCTGTTCAGGTCTCTTGGAGGGAGTTTGCCATATGCTTGTGGTCCTCCATGCAGTTTGGCTTTCTTGCACGTGATGCACTTCTTGCAGTACGTTACGATTGTCTTCTCCATGCCCGACCAGTAGAAATTAGCCCGCATGGTATGGAATTGTCGTTTTGATCCGGGGTGCAGCAAGTTCAGATGATACCAATCAACAAGTTCTTCGCGCATTGCATTTGGGATTACCACACGTTTCTGGTACGTAAGGAGTCTCGCCCCCATGGTGTTCTCAACCCGGTAGTCTGGGTCACTCGTGCCATTCACACACTTTTGCAACAGCACTTGTACCATCTTGTCTGTACTCTGGAACTGTTTGATATAATCTCCTTCCAACACACATTCGCCTTGTTCGCTGAACAGTGCTCTGCTAAGCTGTGACCGGTTTTCGTTGGACACGGATGTGCACTCCATGCGTGAAAACGCATCTGCAGCAATGTTTGATTTTCCTTGTACATATTCACATGTCAACCCGGTACTCTGACAGTAAGAGTTTCCACCTTTTTACTCTTAGCGAATTCTCCGTAGGATAGATCAAGTTCTTGTGATCTGTGTGCACCACCACCGGGAATCCTAAGAGTATTGTTCGGTACTCTTTTAAGATCTCCACAACTGACAGTAGCTCGAGCTCCATCGTGGTGTAATTCCTCTGCGCCTCCGTAAGTGTTCTCGAAAAGCACGCAATCAACTTACCATCCTGCTGAATCAAACCACCTAATTGCTTACCACTCGCATCCGCGTAGATGTCAAAAGGTTTTGAAAAGTCAGGAAATGATAGAAGTACTGCTTCGGCTAGCGCTTTCTTGATTCCTTCGAATGCTTCATTCTCTGTCGAAGTCCACACAAATGTTGCTTTTGGCGACGTCATTCTCGTCAGTGGCTTCAACAATGCGGACTTGTGTGGAATCATCTCCCTGTAGTAATTAATCAGTCCTAAGAATCTTCTCAACTCACGCTTTGTTCTCGGCGCTGTCAAGCGCGTTATCGCACTGATCTTCTTCTCTTGAGGCTGGATTCCATCCGCACTCAATGTAAAACCCAGGTAGTCCACCGACTTACAAAAGATATGACACTTTTTGCCATCAAGAGTCACATTGTACTCTTTCAGACGTTTTAGTACCACCCGTAAATGCTCCACATGGTCCTTGGCTGTCTTCGAAAAGATCAGTATGTCATCTAGATACACGATGACAAAATCAAAGTCACCCAGGATCTTCATCATGCTGGCCTGGTACTCGTCCGGAGCCGTAGATATTCCCATCGGCAGTCTCTTGTATTGGAACTTTCCCCATGGTGTACAAAAGGCGGTGTACTTTCGGCTTATTTTCGCTAATTGTCTAGCGTAATAGCCCATATTGGCGTCCAGTGACGAAAAGTACTTTGCTCCACCTAGTTTTGCTAAAACTTCTCGAATCAGCGGTACATAGTATGGATGTCTCTTCAAAAACCGATTAAGCGCTCGAAAGTCAGTCAGCAACCGTAGTCTTCCGTCCGGCTTCTTTAAGAAGAAGGCAGGCGACGCCATCTCCGAGTCGAAGATTTGCTCAAGCACATCGACTGTAATCAATCTGTGTATCTCCTTGCGAGCTGCATCTTCCTCACTCCTCGGTACTGAGTATGGCCTCGCATGAACCGGTGTGAACGGCTCAACAATTGGTAAGACGTAATCCGGCAGCTTCATCTTGCCCAGATGCCCATTGTACAACATCTCAAAGCTAGCTAACAACTTCACGACTTGGTCGTACGTCTCTTGGTCGATGTCGGCATCGCCAATCAGGTCCATCGGTTTGACCGAAGTATCGTTAATGTCCTTGACCTCGTCAAGTATCTCCCCACCTTTCAATTCTACAGGCAGGTGTCTTTTCGGCTTCTTGTCTGGCATCTCTTGATACGTCCCAGCATTGCCCATATTCACGACCACGGAGTTTCCGTTCCACTCCACCTTGCCGTCTCTGAAGCTCACGATGATACCCAATGCGCTCAATAAATCGCGACCAATGACCATCTCGTCCTTGGTGTTCTCAATCACCTCAAACTGATGAGTGATTCGTGAGCCATAGTTAAGGTCCAAGAATCTGAACTTCACAACCATAGTACCATCCGACTTGAGTTTACCGTCAACTTGCTCGAATGTCATGGTTGAAGGGGTCTTCTTGACTCCCAGCTGCTTATTAGCAGTCACGAGTGATGCGTTAATATAACTGGTAGTACATCCAGTGTCCAGTAGAGCTACTCTTTTCTCTTTCGTCTGCGAGAGCCGAATTCCCAGTCGCATTGGTCTACCAACGCTTTTAGACGCTTCATTCATCGCACTGGTGATTATTTTGCCTTCGCTCTCATCACTATAGTTGTAGTCCGACTCCGTGTCGTCCACCTTCGTCAGCTTTCGGTTCTCCGACTTCTTTGTCGCTGACTTCTGATTGTAGCTATTCTTGTCGTTCATCTTCTGCGTAAAACACTCCTGGTCACTATGTGACGCTGTCTTATGCAGTTTGCACCACTTTCCACTTAGTTCTGCGTTGTTGCTCGACGACGCTTTGCTCGTGTGGTTATTATTCCACTTCGTATGGCTACTATTCTTGCCATGGTAGTTGCCGTACTGCTTATTCGGCTTACTCGCCTTCGGCTTGCCTTTGTTCTCTTGTCCTTCGCGTCGCTCTGACTGCTCAAGGCGCTCGAAATACTGCACGGATTGCGGCATACTACTGAATGTGATACCACTGCACTCGTACGCATGTCTCCAATCTCTCGGCATCGCACGCTTGAAGTACCTGATCATTGACTTGTCGTCCAAGTTCATGGGGTTCGTTGGCAAGTCTCGAAGCATGCGAGCAATCTCTCTCATGCGCCGGTGACACTGTGACACTGTCTCATTACGCCGCTTGGCGAACATGAACAAGTCTTCTTCCAACTGCTCATTGTATGCTTTGGGTACGTACGTCCGTCCCCACAACGCGTACGCCTTCGTAAACTGTGCCACACTATTCATATCCTTATCCTCGGAAGCTGTTTGCCACGCCTCCAGTGCCTCATTCTCCAGCACCAACTGCAAATTCAGGTCCTTCTCTTCTGGTGCCCACTTTTTGAGCTGGCACAGACGTCCAAACTTGTGACTCCACTTAAGCCAATCTTGGGCTGTGCCTCCGCTGAAGCGAGGGAGTGAAATCTTCACGTACTCACGCTCCGTGTTGTACGTTGACTCCCGTGTTGTCACCTGGAATACCACGCCTTTGTCTGCGCGGTTCATCTCGTCCATGGTCTTGCTTGGTCTTCACCCGTTGTAGAAGTCCTACAACTTATCCTCTAGTTCCGTCCTTTACTTTGAGCTAGTTCAAAGTGATATGCCCTTGGCTCGCAGAGGGGCTTTTAGAACAGGATTAATTCAAGACTGGTATTTCTGTTAGTTTGTGTCGTGTCTTGTCTCCGACTGGGACAAGAGCCTAGAAAGAAAGAATAGAAAATAAAGTGCAACTTCAACTCAAGCTGCAATGGCGGTCAGCATCCTCAGGCCGACGCCCTTGTCAATATCGTACATATCAAATTTCGCAAACCTTTATAAGAGAATACAGCATGTTGCTTAACGTAATAATTATACCGGTATTTGTTTTTGCCTAAAAAAATAACTAATGAAAAGTCGGTTTAGTTCTTATAAGTCTGCTAGCGCTGTAGAATATCTGCGAAGCACAATAAAGTTGAGTTCCCACCAATAAAGTAGTAGCAGTATTTTATCCAATCAAGAGGCTTAATAATTGGGCGGCTATCATTGCCAACAGGTCCGGTCGTCAAGCATGTTCCAGCGTCGAGTGATCGCCAGCGTCAACGCCGTCGAGCGTGTGGCAAGCAACCGCCAGATCCGTCGCAAGACGCGTCACCCAGCCAACCTCCGTGCACTGCAGCGTCAACCTCAAGAGGAGGTGGTGGTGCCGCCGCTGAAGTACGAACCGACGTATGTTCCGGAGAAAGTGAGCTTCAACGGCTGGTCCCCAGCTCCGGAGGCGCCGCTTTCCGGCCTTCCGTTCCACGTAAAGCGTACGGCCACGGGTATGCAGCTTCCAGTGTACAGGGACTTTAGAAACGGCCGCACGCGCGTGCTGACCATCCTCCGTCGCTACAAGGGCGACGAGCAGGAGCTGCGTGACGAGATGTCCAAGGTGTGCCAGGGCAAGGAGGTGATCGTGCGCCCGGGCCGTTTGGAGGTCGTAGGCGACCACGCCAGCGACATCCGCAAGTGGCTTGTGGGTCTGGGTTTCTAAAACACATACGAAAGACATAGAAAACAGGGTTCTTTTTGATAAGAAACAGAATCAATCGGGTCCTTGCCAATAAAAGAACTTGTGTTTTATTGCCGAGTTACAGAGAATGCATGCCGTAGACGTCAGCGACGACGTTGTTGAGGATGTCAGACACACTGACATCGGAGCACGCCACGAGAATCAGATCCTTCTCAATTGGCAAAAAATACGGAAATGTGGCACGGTTCATCGAAATGTTGCACAGGGTGGCAACAATAATCCGCGCTGCTTCCGGCTGAAAGGGCAACAGAAAAAAACAAAAATATCAAAAACCAACAAACACTCCTGCCGCAAATGTTTGTCAAAATCTTACCCTTCCGACACAAGAAAGAAGCGAGCCTGCCAAGCGCCGCATGCACGTCGGATGTCGCGCCATTCGCAGCTTCGTCTCGTCATCATAGTCGGAGAGACGGAAGAGAACTTCCAACGCTGCGTCTCGCATCTCATGATCCAGTTGGTTTCCTTGGTCAAACGCCACAGAGTGCGCTGCATGCGCCCCACCGACATGAGGCGACGACGTCGTGTGGCGCACACCCTCCGGACTGACGTACACGACGCCCATGCCGACACCTGACGGCAGCCCGTCGTTCTCCCAGGGTGCAGGCCAGCGACTGTTGTCGTCTCCATCAGTCATATCTTCGTCAGAATCAGACTCTGCGTCCAAGTCATAGTCAGCTTCAGTGGGGAATCCGTGGGATCGTTGCGTCTTGTGCTTTGATCCACGAGGGAGGAACTCTTGTCGAGAACAGCCTAGCAATGCGACCACACGGTCAAGTAACGCTGGGTCTTGCAGTGCTTGACTGGCCGACAAGAACCTCTTAATGGCTACATCGCGACATATCTTCGTGAGCAGTTCACAAGCGCGAAGGACGATAGAACGACGTTGTTGCTGGAGCTCTCGGGTCCACCAGGATGCGACGCAGTTCGCGAAGTAGACACTCGAGTGGCAACACGCGATCTTTTTTCCACAATTGGGCGTTTAATTGGTGCTGTGGATGCCACACTTCAAGAGAGGCAGGAGGATGTAGCGCGAGGAAGTCGATACGCTTCGAGACAGCACACAATGTATCCAACACATGGTCCCCGATGTCCACAGCAGCGCGGGAGCGTCCACCGCGACAGTTGCGTGCGTCGGTACTGTTCACGTAGCGTAGAGCCATGATAAAGAACACACACAACTCGTCGTGAGCAGCGATTGGCTTTTCATTTGCGCCGATGATTGCCAGATTGCGTATGATGTTCAAAACTAGCAGAGCTCGAGAGTCCAAAAGTTCACGCTCGCCGTCATCGACTGTCAGATTCAGTAGTTTTCGTCGAATAGATTGTTGTTGCACCATTTCTTGCTCATCCGGCAACAATTTGCAGGACACTAATTGTCGATACAAAGCGTCCAATAGTCCCGGCACATTATCCACCAATAGCTCGTTCTCGTTCGCTGTTGCGTTGGCATTCGATGTCGCTGCGTTCTGATGCTGTACAGAGTCATCTGTGCGGTCTCCGTAAGATAATACAGTCAGTAGATTGAGAGCTGACAGCACTTGCTCGGGTAAATCCGAGTCCAACGCCAACACGATGTTATGCAGTGTCCCGAGGTGCGTCTGGAGTTCACGTTGAGCTTTGAACCTCTTATTCGCTCGTGGCAATGGAGTTCCACCCATGCCGCCCTGCGCATCTTGAAGATCTTGCATAGTGGCAACGGGGGCTGTGTCGTCGTCTGTTTCCACTTGGGCGCGGCGCTTGTTGGGCAGTACATTCATAGTGGCTTCGGAGGGAGGGAGGTCTCGTCCGAAGAGCTGTTTCTCTTCAAACGCTCGCAGGTAGTGGTCGTAATGGGCTGCCAATTGATAAGGCATGAGTCCTTTGATGTTGAGTCCGTTGGGACCTAGAATTTCGGCCCATTGCTGACGCTGAGAGACGACAGTGAAGCCTCCGCGAGATACCACCTCTTCGTACAGTTTGAGCCAGTCGATAGCAGCGCCCGTCGGCGTTTTAGGGAGAGACTGCAGCAGAGAAACCTCCTTGCGGTCTTCGACAAACTTTACCCAGTCACGAAGAATACTCTCGCGCGCAGCATCGCCCCGACAACTGAGCTGAAGTGCCAACAGCGCCTCCTTCGCCGCCACAGCCGCCATGCTAATTATGCAAATCGCTTTAAAAACTGGCTTTTCCACCAATGAAAACGCGGTAAGCCATGATTGATAGAAATTTAAAACAGCAGCAACTGAAGTTGAAGAGCTTATTCTAACGGGACCCAAACCAGACGGACCTGTCCCCAGTTGTCGCAGTGAACTCTCTCGCTACGTCAAGAACAAACGTGAATTTTTCGCACAGTCATGAGCGATTACGACGTGGCTGCCATGTTCTCCAAACATTCGGCGAGAATTATCCAACAGCACCGCAGCAGCAGCAGCATCAGCATCGGCAACGAATCTCCAACTCACACCGATCTTGAAGAGACAAGTGACACTCACAGCGTCCAGAGTGCTCCAGCGAGTTCCGCTCATCCAATGATTAGTCGCAACAGCCTCTCACGTTCAGTGACAGCGTCTCTGAGTCTCGAGCAGGTGCAGCAGCAACTTGAAGAGCTCGAAAACGCTCCAGGTCCTACTAAAGAGGAGATCGAGGAGATGCTAGCTCAGTACTCGAGCAGTGGGTCGGAAGACGAGAGTGACGAGTCGTCGTCAAGTGATGAACCCGAAACGATCATCATGAAAGTACTCATTGTAGGCAACGCTCGCTGCGGGAAGACCAGCACCATACGAAGATTCACTCAAGACAAATTCAATGAGGAGTATGTAAGCACCATCGGGGCGGACTTTGTGGAGAAGATCATCGCGTATGACGAGCAGTTGACCATCAGTTTGCAACTATGGGACATTGCAGGTCAAGATCGCTTCGCTAAGTTTACACGCGGCTACTTTCGAGAAGCAAGAGGAGCTGTAATCGTCTGTGATATCACACGAGCGAACACGATCGACGCTGTCGTCAACTGGAAGAACGAGATCGACACGTGCTGCAAAGACTTGAACGAAGGCGCAGAGATCCCAGTCGTGATGGTTGCTAATAAGAGCGACTTGTTGCTGGACCCCATGGGAGCGCTGGATCTGGGCGTCAACATGCAGAAATGCGTCGATAAGAACAACATTGTCGAGTGGTTCCGTGCCTCAGCCAAGAGTGGCGAGCGTATTGGAGATGCCTTCCAGTGTCTAATCAACCGAATGGTTAACGACTATCGCAATGGGGAGGACAAAGACAAGAACGAAGAGGAGAAGCCTGAAGAAGAAGCCCCACCAGAGATTATCCGGTTGTCCCAGACTCCACCGCAGTACCGAGCTGTCAAGCAACAAGGCTTCGCGTGTGACTGCAATTAGAAAGGCTACTAGTACTGCTCAAGATACAACCTCTTTTTTTTTATTTTTTTTTTTAATTTTTCTTTAGCATTATCCAAATAATGCAATTCAGATGGACTAGTCGACGACAGCGTACGTTGCAGCTGTTGTTTACTGACGCGGGCGCTTGCGACGCTCAGCTGCCAGTGTGGCTGTACTGTGTAAGATCTCCTTGCCTTCAGATGGACGTTCAATAAAGTACGGGTCCAGGTCGACTGCAAAGCGGCGGATCTTCTGAGAGGCCTCGTCGATCTTCTCGTCCGTCGTGAGTGCGAAGATCTCGACAAGTAAAGCTTCAACGCGGAGGTTCTCCAGGTCCACGAGACGGTATTCGTCTTTCTCATCTTCTTTTTTCAACTATATAGAAAAAGAAAAACTTTTAAGTAAATTATAGAGACCTGTATAATCTAATAAGTGGCAACTCACCGCCTTCATGCGTGTAGCTTCAATTGTTATGCCGTTCGGGAACTGCCATCGCGTTCCTAGACGCATGTATCTGTAGCTGTGGCTGCAGATGATGACATATTAGCGAGCATTTCTTGTCTAGACGTGAGGAACAGAGGCTTCGTACCGAAACCCAAGCGTGCGGAGGAACGAGCGCACGTTCTGACCGACAGACACAGCGATCTGGCTGCGGAACGGAACACCCAGCGGAGCGCTGCCAACGTGCTCCGACATCTTCTTGCGCTCCCATCTCCCGATGTATCGCAATTCCCTGGTGAAGTAACGTAAGACTCGAAGTGCAATTTTGCAACACTATAGAGGCTTCGCTTCAGCTTACCACTTCTGCCCTCCGTCGGACGGCATCTCGACAGCTTCGCCCTGGAATGTTGTAGAGCCAGAGAATACATGACGTGCGCGGACCTCGTAGTGTGGGACGCCGTGGATGTACTGCGGACATTTGTCGTCGAAGTTGTAAACGTACTCCTTGTATGCAATGTCCTCCTACGACGTCCCAACAAATGCTTAGCGCTTGAGCGTAGTCTTGATATGTATGTGATCTAATATCATAGCTGGTGATAGCTTACCTTGACCACGCTCTCGTCGCAGAGCCCACTTAAACGCTCGACGAATGAAGGGAAGTGCTTGACGTTCTAAGCTCGTTATCGTCCATAAAGCGAGGACAATGACCACAATAATTAGTCACCACGTCGTAAGCAGCAATTTAAGCCATATCGTATAATGTTTGAGCATTTCAACGCACAACTTCCCCCTGCAGGACGCACTCGAAGCACTTGCCAGCTCGCGCCATGTTGGATTGTCCAAAAGTGGCAATTGAAAAACAATCTTTCGATTGGTCTAAATATAAATTGAAGTTCATTTGCTGAAAAGGACCTTCAATCTCGCTTATTGGCTGAAAAGAAGCGACTGTGAGCCACATGCTCATTAGACTCGGCAGACTTGAGACTTCCAGGCTGCGTAAGGCAAGATGGTGTGGAATCGTATCAAGTTCCCCAACATGGCGGTGACCTTCATGGGTAAGAACGCGCGCACACGGCTTCGTGACAACCAGTACGTCTTCCGCGTGGAGCCGCACTACACCAAGCACGAGATCAAGGAGTATTTGACCAAAGTTTACGACCTGCCCGTGGCCAAGGTCAACACCATGAACTACGAAGGTGCGTCTATTATAATAGCAATGGTAAACGTTATTATTGTTGTGCTAACAATCTTCATTTCCCAAAATCAGGCAAGTTTAAGCGCGCATTCCGTGGTCGCTACGTGTACAAGGAGAAGGACTGGAAGAAGACCATCGTGACCCTCAAGCAGTAACTTAGGCGCTTAGTTAAAGGCGGCGACGACAGCAACGGGTTCTGCAGTGCGACGACCACGGTACAAGGAACAAAAGAGTAGATAACAGTCGCTACTGCAGAATGGAGCAAAAGTTCGCCTTATATCGCTAGCTTCGTTGAACCTGTGAATATGCAACACAGAAGGAAGCAAGGTGTGCGCCGCCGGGGAATCGAGTAGTACTTGCGAAGCAACAGATGAAATGAATACAAACACACGCGCAGTTTTCCCACTGCTCCGATGTTATGCCTGGCGTACTAGTTGTACTGAGATTCTCTTAAGAAATTAACGCTCCTTGATGCGAAACCTATAGGACATCCAAGGCGGCGTCGACGGAAACGCAGTCTTAAGCACAAAGTGTCGACATGGCAACGACTCTGTCCCCTCCTCCGCTTCAGCTGCAAGTCGCCGTCTTCCTCGCGCGTTCATCTCCTTAATCCTGCTGGCTAACATCCTCGAAGTTGTCCACAAGGTCGGGGACCTCGTCGTCATCGTCGTCAGCAGCGGCGGTCGAAGCAGCCTTGGCGGCCTTCTGGGCAGCCGTGTACGACTCGGCGATCTGCTTGAGGTTGGCGAGGTTGTCCGGGCCCAGCTGGTTGATAATGCCAGGCAGCAGCTCCTGCAGCGACTTGGTCTGGTTAAAGCCCGACACGGCGTACGTGTTGGAGGCGATCGAGGCCTGCACCTTGGGGGCCTGGAAGTGGATGACCTGGCCGTCAGCCTTGAAGAGGTTCACCTCCTCCACACCGGGGATGGGGGTCACGCCAAGCTTCTTCAGGGTCGCGCCCAGCTTCTTGTCGTCGGCAGTGGCTGTCTTGTGGGCGGCTTTGCGCTTTCGGCGCACCGTACCCTTGCCGCCCGTGCGGACGTCACCGAACTTGGCCGCGAGGCGTTCACGCGCGAGAGTGATAGCGTCAGCCATATTTCTGTAGTTGGAAATAACAGGATACGATCAGTTTCTAGGTTTCGCAAAACGACGCTCCTCCCAGCGGATATGGGGCTGCTCTTGCAGATTGCATAGATTTCAAGCCCGATCTGTCCTGTATTTAGAGAGGCAGAGCGCTATAGAGACCAATCGACAGAGGAACGCACCTTGCAGTAGAAAACTGGAGTTAGTAGACCAGGCAAAAATGATGCTGGCTGGAGCGCAGACAACGTTTCCAAGGCTGTCGGTGCTGGATTGCTAATTTGTAGCATAAAACGGGGTGAATGTGGCGAAACACTTGGTATTTGTAAGCTCTTTCAGACTCACCCACCACCCAGTTTTAAGGGTCTGGCCCAGACGCTCTCAACCAATGGATGAATTCAAGTAGTACTATTGGTTAAGACTTTAAAGTGTTTTCTGCCAATAGAGCGATTTTTTAAACATTCTGTCAGATTTGATCAAAATTTGTCTGAATTAATTATTGGGTATCCATTGAAGACACAATGAACCAAGATGACTTCCGACAGATGCTCGCAAGCGGCGAGGCTAGCGAGGCCAAACGCAGCTACGGAGGCAAACGCAACCTATCCGAGGCGGATCTCTCTGAAATTAAGAAGCTGTCTACGAAGAAAGCGAAGAAGAAAAGCAAGAAACCAACGAATGCAACGCCCGCAGACGCAGCCGGTCCTCGGCCGCCCAACAGTCAGTACCGAGACCGAGCGGCCGAGCGACGTAGAGGTGAAACAGGAGACATGATCGATGCCGAAGAGTACAAACATTTAGACACGGAGCAGAGTAAGTTTCTCGGTGGAGATATGGAGCACACGCATCTAGTCAAAGGACTGGACTTCGCGCTACTCTCTCAGTTGAAGCGTGAGAAGCAGAAGCTGCTGGCCGAGAAACAGAAACAAGTGAGGAATATAAGTACTGCTAGCAATCTAGAGACAGCGAGACCGAGCGACGGCAAGATGGCGTTCAAAACGCGAATGGGAAGACTAGTGTACTTCCACGCGTGTCAGAGCACGCCGGAGAGCACGACGTCGGTCAAGTCGGAGCTGTTCTTGCCCGGTCGAATGTACTATACATTCAATCTATCACCTACTGAGCTTGAGAGTGTCCCTGTGAGTGTACAACGCAGTAAAGAGGATTGTCCTGAGCCTGATGAAGTGGTGAGTGGGACAGTAAATGAGTCGCTTATTGACCGCGTGGCAGAGCTGATGAGCAGCAAGAAAAACGGCAAGAAAATGCGAAAAAAGAAGAAAAGAGACAGTCCTATTCATCATAGTGACAAACAAGAGATAGATGGTGTTGAAGAAGAGCAGAATGATGTAGAGATGCCTGAGACAGAAGTTGAAGCTGCAGTTGATGAGGACGAAGATATTTTCCCTGATGTGGGTGACTACGTTCCGATGGACCAACGTACGGACGATGAATCTGCTGGTGAATCCACGAAGGAGGCTGTTAAGAAAGCTGGTTACTTCTCGAATCTGAGTGCTGCTATCACTGAAAAGGAAGAAGCAGCTCGGAAGAAAGAAGAAGACGCAGAGCGAGAGTGGAAGGAGACACTGCAGAAGGCGGTGGAGACCCAGAAGAAGATGGAACGAGAGAAGGAACGGAGAGAGAAAGCGGCCAAGATGACTGGGGGAGCGGACGACTATGCAGAGTATCAGGGTGTTGGCGCTCTCGGAGGAGACAGCGATGACGAGGACGATGAGGAGACTGCGAGACGTCGCAAGGCTGCTGGTCTAAGTGGCCGTAAAGATATTGTGGACTCGGATGAAAAAACTCGTCGGAAAAAGCAGAAACAAAGCAACAAACTTGCGAACGACCTTGAGAAGATCAACAAGGTACGGTTGTATTAATCAATGAGGACTACATACTGTAGATAGACTCACTAACACATTTGTTTCACTTGTGCATAGATCATGGAGGACAAGTCGAGCAAGTAAAATAAAATAAAATAAGGTTTTTTATGAGGAAAAATAGAATCCCGTGAAAGCTAATATCTATTTCTACGAGCTTCACACACAAACGGTATCTTCCTCGAAACGCCGCCTTAAAGGATCCAATCGGTAGAAGCGAGTCATTCCTTCTTCTACGTGGCTCGAGAGCGACCTGTTGGAACACTGCCCACCTCGTCGAGCTAGTATCACCTGTCTACGCTCACGCAGCTTGTGCCTCCTCCAACGCAGCAGAAATGGCAGATCTAGAGCGTAACGACCAGTTCGGCTTCCTGTATGAGAACCGCGATCCGTGCAACGCCATTGCGCTCCTTCAACTCGGTGTGACGCTCGTGTCGTTCTTCTTCACGTATACCGTGTGGTGGTCGGGCCTCTTCGGCGTCATCGTGGCTGCCATGGGCTACTATGGCTCTGTCCAGCCTGTCATCCAGAGCAAAGTGAGCTTCATCCAGTTCGTACGTGTCACTTTGCTGCGTTTTTGAGGGTTTCTAGGCATAATACTGACGAAAATCGTGCTGTACAATTGCAGTACTACTTCGGCAACTGCTTCATGCTACTGCTGCAGGCCATCTCGGCCGTTGTCCTGTTCATCCTCGTGAGTGAGTGGAAGAACTTTGACTCTTGGGCCTGGGGCGTCATCATCTTCGGTACGCTCTCTTTCGGCGTGCAGCTCTTCGTCACGTACGTGGCCATCCAGCGCTCACACGCGTACCGAGCGGAACTCATGAGGAACCCTCCGCCGGCGGAGAACGTTTACGGAGGCAACTCGAGCGGAACTGTCTACACGGCAATGGGAGCTGGATACAAGGCGCCCACGGCTCAGATCAAGACCATTTAAGAAAAAGATGTAGACTTTTGAGTGCAATAGGATGCCACGAGCCGCTTCTTGCTGCGTATAAATTTAACTTTCTTCGAAATCGTGTCGAACATCTTGATTTTCATGTGTGAGATGAGGTTTTGACATTTTCATTTTTTGCGGTTTGGTTGGAAATTACACCCTACCGTCTTACCCCGCATACAAGGCATAGGTGCTGTAAATGAATACAACGCTGCTTGTGTGTTATATTCGTTTAGAAAGCCTATGTGTTGTACAACGAACAAATTGTTTGACTTTGAAGAAGCAAGTCTGTGGGTCCTGGAATATGACTTGGTGGAAATGCACGAACGCCAAATGAGTCTACTGACAGTTTATGAGCTACTGGACGGCGATCCCATTTACAAGTTGACACACGAGAAGCTGCTGCAGTTCAAGAAGTTCCTGTTCGCCACGAAGCCGAAGCCTCCCATCGCCCACGAGATAGCGAAGCTCCCCCCCCCCCCACAAAACCACTGATGCGACCAGAAGAAGTGATGCGAATCTTCCCCATCCAATTAATTAACAAATGTACCTCCAAGGTCACAGCCTACCAAGCAAAAAAACCGGGAACGTTGGAAATGCAGCTGGCGCTGGAGATTGTTGGCGTTGGAGTGTTCGCGAACTCTACGGTATCGCTCATGAGAAAGTGGCACACCGCAGTAAAATTCGTCAAGAAAATCAAAAGAGCTATAACCTGGATTGATCGATTAGACTTCGCGCAACACGGGAATTCTAGCTTCTACGTCGAGGAGGACACCAGTATACCTAAGCTGCTGAAAGATCTGCCAATTCTGTCGAACGAGTATGCAGACTTGGTGGACCCGGCTTCGAAGGACACCCTTAGCGCCCAAGTCATGCAGATGATTCTACACAAACTGTTTGGTGCGGATCCTAGTGTTCTAGTGATCGACCCGTCTAACATGGGGATTTCAAATGGAGCTTTAACGACAGACATCAGGTATTTTAAACTGGCGTTGGCTGGAGTCACGAAGAAGATGAAAGTGCTGTTTCCAATCAACTGCAACAACAACCACTGGTGCGCTGTGCTAATGGATTTGGAGAAGGGCAGAGTGTACGTCTACGACTCGATGGCGTCCTCCTACATGATCGGTGTCCGTGCCGTGGCACAGAAGATGATCATGATGCTGCCAGACGGAGTCAGACCTAGTGCTCGCTTGGTGACTCACGACCCTGGACTTGGCGTTCAGTGCGACAGCTATAATTGCGGTGTGTATGTCTTGCTGGTATTTGAGATGTTCTGTGGGTCAGAGCCGCTCGGCGACCTCGACAAAAAGACTCTGCAATGCATGCGCTACCGCTACTTGCGCATGTGTATAGAAGAACAAGGAAGTAGCAGTAGCTAAGTCACTGAACTCGTTGCATCGAACTATGTTTATTGAGTTATATGCTTGATAATGTCTTTAGTAATTGAAGGGGATAACCTGCTCAGCAGAACGCTTCTATCTCTGCGGACTCTGGTACTGTCACTGAACTCGTTGCATCGAACTGTGTTTGTTGAGTTATATGCTTGATAATGTCTTATGTAATTGAAGGGGATAGCCTGCTCAGCAGAATGCTTCTATCTCTGCGGACTCTGGTACTGCCGATGTCGATCCACTCCGGCTCTTTGGCATCTTTCGGATATACGTGTATAGTGTATAAGTTTTAGGCCGGCTCTTTCGATTTGGGTGCTGTAGTGGGCACAGGATGGGTGTCTGACGGTCACAACTGGGTACGGGTGGGTGCTGGTTTGGTGTCGTAATTCTGTCTTGTCCCGTCCCATGTGCACGAGGTGGGTGCAGCAACGAGTGCCGAAAAATAACAGACGGAATTGAGTCAAATCTTAATCTATGTATTTTTGTCGAATTTACGGAATGGTTATAAAAGCATTGTAATTTATTCATAAATACTCGCTCTCGAAACAGCTTTATCATACTACGTCACGTGTAAACTTAGGCTTCGTTTGCTATTATTAATATCACGGATATTATTTCTTAGTGTGCATGCTACGAAGAAGATTACGGGTTGCCCGACTGGTACATAAATTGTGAATAATGTACCAGCTAATATACAGCATTAGCCCCTTGGCTCCCGACGTCGTAACTTACGACATGACTCTTTTTTTATGTCGTAACTTACGACATAATTGGAATAACATTAGAAAATGGCTCAAAAATGGAAATCCTTTACTTTAATCAAGTCATTTGAAATCGATAAAGTTCAACCGGTAAATGAGAAAAATCCAAAAACGAGCCAGGGATCAGGGACGCGCGGAAAAGATGGGATACGCGGGAAAGTATCCAGTTGCCACTCAGTGGTCCACAGCCCATTACAGAATTTGCTCGATGGCTCGCATCCGGCCTGGAAAACGAACCAAAACAGCCGCCGTTGCTGCGGTGGCGCGCAACATTGACTTTGGCCACTTTTGGCGACAACTTCGAGCTGTGGGATGGAAGTACAAGCGACCAACCGGGATACAAACTAAAGGGAAGTACGTAAGTGCAGATGGTTCAAAGGTGTTAGTTGGAGAGGAGGCTGTGGTGGCGTATGCATTAGAGACAGGAATATTGGATGAGCCGGAGAGCGCAGAGGAAGCCAACGCTGCAGACGATGAGGTCGCTGTTGACGTAGTAGCCGACGATGACGAGAGCGCCGCTGCCTTTGCTACTGAAGACGCCGTCACTTCCAGTAAAGACGCCGCCGATAATTGTTTAGAGGACGTACGTGCGTCGCAGATCGACACAAGTGCTGAGCTGTCACAGCAGACCATGAATGATCTGTTTGGCACCCCAAGCAGCTGCAATAGCTCTGAAGTCGAGCTTTCACAGGCAGCAGTTACTCGGGCTTTTAATTTGTCGCCCGGAGAGCTTCGAGACGCAGCGACAAACCTGCAGTTTCTGTCATCTGGACCCGAGAGTGACGCTCAGTCGGATGTTGGCGCTGCTTCCCCGCCTGACAGTCCAGTGCCCGCACAGCCTATAACTGTGCCGACCGCCCTACCTGTCACTGTGCCCGTCGCCCAACCTACACGTGAGCCTGACGCCCAACCCGTACGCAAGCACGCTTCCCAACCTGTTCGTGTGCCAGCTACGCCGACCTGTCCTGTCCTACGCCCCCGTCATCCTGTCAAGAAGGATGTAAATTTTGTGACTGACGACGAAGACCTGAGTGACTACGAGAGCTTTAGCTCTGGAGACAGTGATGACGACATTGAAGAAGACAATTATGACGATGATGGCAATGATTGTGAAGTACCTGAAGAATTGGATGAGCTATCAGAAGATGACGCTGTGCCAATGGACGCAGCGTTCATTGACTCACTTCAAGTAGGCAGTGATGCCCTCAACAGTCAAGCCAAGCAGCAACGTGAGGACGCGTTACGTTCAATGGAGTGGTCTCCAGTCACTCACGAGTTTGAGGAGGGTGTCGAAGCGTACTCTGGTCTGAATATGGAAGAGGCACGACCGGTCGCTGAGCTACTAAACGTTTGCCACTCTCTACTACTTACATTCTTTTACTTTATGCCCAAGTCGCTATGGGTCAAGATAGCTGCAGAGACGAATCGGTATGGACTTCAGCAAGTCACCAGACGTGCAGAAAGAATTCATGCAAAGCAACACGATCGGAGAAAGGAGACGGTTAAGCAGATTAGTCGGCGTTTGAAGGCAAAGCCGGGATACGAGACGCACGAGATCTTACACGTGATAGGTCTCCTGATTGCGCGCATGCTCTGCCCGCAAAAGCGACGTTTTGCCGCTCACTGGTCGATGGTGGAGGATGGGGCCGTTCCTGCAGGTAATTTTGGAAGGTTCATGGGCCGGAATCGATGTCAAGACATGTTGCGCGACTTGCACTTTGTGGACAACGAGGCGGAGCGTACGCGAGACAGGCTCTGGAAGTTGCGAATGGTAGTCGAGACAATGCAGAATCGTTTCTTGATTGCGTGGACCCTCCCGGCAGTGTTCACTTTTGACGAGGGTGTTCTGCCTTCTACTTCTAAAAGAAACACGACTAGAATGTTCATGCCCGATAAGCCTCATCGGTATGGCTCGAAAATGTTTATGGTGTGTGATTCAAGGACCGCGTACTGCCACAGGTTTTTTTTTTTTACTTACGTCGTAAGTTATGACATTAGATTGGGTTCTCATCAATTATGTCGTATGTTACTAGATTTGAGCTGTATGCGGGCAAAAGAAGAGATGGAGAGCATTCAACATTTGACCATAAGACCGGTGCGGCTGCAGTCGTTAGAAATTTGAAGACAATGGCTTGGTCCCAACACCCGGCTTCCATGGCACGCAGTAGTTATCGACCGCTTCTATTCGTCAATTCTACTTGCTATCGAGCTACTGGGCATGCAAGTGTCCGTGATAGGCACGATAATGACCAACCGGCTTGGATATGATGCAAATGTCAAAGAGAAACGCAAGTCACGTCCAGCAAGCGTTCCCCGAGGCATGTTCACGTTTTCTCGTTCTGTCGCCATTCCAAATATGGTTGCATTTCACTGGTGGGACCGGAAACCTGTGCATTACCTGTGCACAGGCTCGGCAATGACAGAGACGACTATTACACGAAACGTCAAGCGCGTTGGTACAATTACCGTGCCCTGCCCGGCGGCTGTAACCGACTATCAACGTTAGATGGGCGGAGTTGATGTGCATGATCAACTCCGCCTACAAAAGTACTCTTTGCAGAAGTCTACGAAGTTCAAGAAATACTACAAAAGCCTTTTTTTAGGCTTCGTGGATTTGGCACTTGTAAATGCGTTTATTTCGCACAAAGAGGCTGCACGTATCGCTGGAACGCCGGTGATGAAGCGAGGAGAATGGTTCGGAGTCCTGCAAAACCAATTACTGCAGCTGAAAGTGGAGGACTTCGCTGGTATTGTTGCAACACCGACACCTAGCAGCCAGAAGCGGAAGCGCCCTCAACTACGTCTGACACATGCTGTCGAGCAGGCCGACGACTGGGTGACCGTTACGGGCATTCAGAAGCGTCGCCAGCGATCTTGCAAGGTGTGTGCCCTGTTGCGCACGGATCGAAAGAAGAAGTTGTTTGCTACAACTTACTTTTGCGAACGCTGTTCTATTGACGATGCAAAGTGCTGGCTGTGCAGCAAGATACGACGTCAGTACAAGGGTGTAGCTAAAACGTGCTTTGAGATCTGGCACGACGACTTCGACTGCGGCCAAAACATTCCTGCAACCCGGGAAAGAGAGTTGTCTTGCGACGCCGGGGAAGAAGGCAGGTGTGCACAAGAAGACCCGTCGAGAGTTGCGACTTCGTGAAGATGAGGAAGACGGCGGTGATGAACATGAGAGTGAGCAAGAGTAGGCTTGCCAGCGTGACATCAAAAGAGTGTGGGCGCTTGTCATGTCGTAATACACATTTCCTTGAGTATCTGTACTTTTTGTTCTGTCTATTCTACTGATCTGGATTCATAAAACAGCTCTGTGCACCACTTTTCCCCGATGTGCAGCAGATCTTCCCGCTGTACTTTCTAATGTGGGGCAACTTACGACATACAGTGTTTTCTGCTAGCTACTAAGTAGTATAACTTACGACTTCTGAGAGAGCAACCTGTCAAAAACTTATACACCTATACGCACGTCGAACATATGCCACATACAAACAAGTAGTGACATGGACATGTCGTAAGTTACGACATTATTTATCTCGTTTTCGATACATTTCGCCGGGAACCAAGGGGTTAGCCCGCCCAGTTTAAAATTCACGCCGTGAAACTAATCGTGGTCACTGCTACACATTCAGCAATGGGTCTACGCTGTGTTCTGCTAATGACAGTGGTCTACCTACTTGCCGGCACCAATGCTCTTTTACCGCCTGGGGGTGTCAGTGCTTCGCTTTTGGACTACAGCATCGTTACCGACCGCAACGACGTCGGACGAGAAAGGTCCCTGCGGCTTACCGAGACAACAGAAGAGAAAGACAGCGGCGTTGGTGAAGACGGTCCCAAGACTGCGGATGAGAGATCGAATCCGATATCAAATTTATTCTCTCAGATGAGAGACAAGCTCTCGCTGTATTTCAAAACTGAAACGTGGCTTGAACTAGGCAAGTCCAGCGAGTATGTCAAGAGGAAGTTGGGGCTGGAGGGATTACAAGGCACAAAACTAACTTCGCACAAGAACTACAAACGGTGGGTGAAATATTCTCACAGGCTTGAAAAAAATCAGCTACTGGCAAAGGCCCAAAGAAAATACTCTACATTTAAGGTGTGGAACGAGGCCGGGCTTGAAAAGATCACCGGTAAAAAAGTGTGGAACGGCATGCCAGCTCAGGAAGCCATTGATGTTTTGAAGTCGATCCAGTCATCGGATTCGTTTAAGTACTATCAGTGCTACATTACTATGTATGATGGGTACATGATAAACTTGTTCGGTTCGGGTTATTATCGTCCCGACAGATTTATCGACGAGAGAGCCACTGCAGTGGAAAAGATGGCGAGGGCGTACATTTGGGCAGACAATGGAATAGACGAGCGGTATGTGAGGGAATTCTTGGGTTTGTTGAGGAAGAAAGACGACGAGGTCCTCAAGAACCCATATTACCGATTTTACAAGGATTCACTGAAGAAAGGCCAAAGCTAAACCAAACATGAACATCGCTCTATAATATCCGTCTAATTATTTCGACGTACGATTAGGTGCATGAACTCATTTGTGGCAACAATCAAGCAAATGCTGTGCAAAATATAGGAAACCCTACCTAGTATGTGGTTTATTGTCAGTGAATCAGACGAACTCTTCCAACCCTTCAAGTAATTCACCCATCTCGACCAGTCGGTCACTTCCTCTGGGTTCAACTGACCCTCTCCACAAGAGTACACCAATCAAAACGGAAGTGTGGTCCATCTGGTACCGTCATGCGGGTGTTCTTCTTCCTCTCGCTGTTCACAGCCACCGCCAACGCCGCTTGTAGTCGCGACTCGACTGCTCTGACATCCGACTGCTCGCAATGCTACCAAGGTCGCCCTTGCATCGCCTTCGCTGCGGATGCGTCGTGCAACGCCACCACCTTCGGAACGTGCGTCAATAACGGGAACTCGTCCAGCGGCTCAGCCGAGGACTCGTGCGCCTTCGAGTGTTTTACCAACGGACCCAGCGACTTTGCCGCCAATGGGGCCGTGGAGTTTACAGAATACGTCTTCTTTATTCCTTACGGGGATGTAGAGAGCAAGTGGGAGGCGAGCTGGACGAGCTCTCAGGCGAGTACAGTGGACTCGCAATTGGAGAGCGAAGCGGATGAGACGCAGCTGCATCCTAGCGAATCCAATTTAGTGTTCGAGGACATTGAACCGCTAACGTTCCAGTCAGAGACGACGACGGCGTAAGTGGGATATTTTTTATTTTAACATTTAGAAAGAATATGCTGACTTTGGGATGGTGACAGAGTGTTTGTCGGGGGGACGAGTGTGTGGGGAGTGAGAGGAAAAGTGTCGCAAGTGAAATTAAGCCCACAGTTCCTGTCAGCGAATACGCAGCTAACAAATATGTACGTGGTTGGATCTTATTTTACTATATTTCTCTAAATGCTGATATTTATTTTTAAATAGAACGATGGTAAATCTCGGGTTTCACGTGGATCCGCCGCAGTCAACGTTCCCTACGACGAATGTTGAGAGCTTCCGGATGTCCAATTGTCTGTTGAGCACGTATCCGGCAGATTTGGAGTTCATGACGTCGGTCGTGCACGTGTGAGAAAAAAAAATATTATATATTATTAGCTGTTAAGGGCGAACACTGACAAGTTTATGTCTTTAAAGCGACTTCTCGCAGAACTACTTTAAGGACTACGCTGTCAAGTTCTTGCATGAATCGATGGAGACGCTCAACTTGTCTACGAACGCCTTGACGGCCTGCAGCGGCAACTTTCCGAACATGATAAACCTGTAGGTAACTTTATTTATATCTTTGTTTTTTTAAGTTTATTAAACTTATTTTTTTTCTGCGCAGGGATCTGTCTGGCAACACACTAACCGACATTCCATCCAATATCTTCAGCATGCCCAAGCTAAAAGTGTTAAACCTCAGTCACAACTCCTTCACGGGAGTGGCGCTGACAGCAAACCAAGTCTCGTTCCTCCAGAGTCTGGACTCTTTTACTATCGACACATTTGGCGACGTTTCTTCCTGTTCGGAGTCGGCGCAAGTCGAGATCAGCGGCGTATCTGTGTGCACCAGTACAGGTTATGCGGACGACTCGTCTAGTGACGGTAGCAGTAGCAACACGGCGGCGGTTGTAGGTGGCATCGTCGGCGCTATCGTCGTGGCAATTGTCCTTGGCGTCGGCTTCTTCTGCTACCGACGGCGTAAAGCTCACGGCAAAGGCTTCGGAACTACGACGGGGTTTTCGGATCCTACGAATCGATCTGGGAAGGGTGGGGCATCGCTTTGGAACGACCAAGAACTGCTGTCGTTGCAGGTTAATCCCGATGACATCGAGGACATTCGGAAGCTCGGAACAGGAGCTTTCGGAGTCGTCTACCTTGCCAAATATCGCCAGAACAGACTCGTAGCTTGCAAACGCCTTAAAGAGGGGGACGCGACGTTCGAAAACACCCAAAATTTCGTTGCGGAGATCAAATTATGCGCAACTTTGGACCATCCGCGGGTGGTTCAATTGCTCGGAGTTGCGTGGACCATTGAGAGCGACTTGCAAGCCATGTTCGAGTACATGGCCCAGGGAGATCTCCGTACGTATCTCGAGAAGACCAAGTCGGGGTCTTCGCTCTGGAACGCTGAGAAGCTGCAGCTTTCTGCGGATGTTACTGAAGCTTTAGTGTACGTTCACTCGTTCACGCCGCCGATCGTGCATCGAGATCTCAAATCTCGTAACATTCTTCTGTCTCAAGACACTCGAGGCCATCTGAGCGACTTTGGGGTGGCTCGCGTGCGATCTGCTAACGACACGATGACTAGAGGCGTCGGCACTGGACGGTGGCTGGCTCCGGAAGTGATCACGGGCAACAGGAACTACGACCAAACCAGCGACATCTTTGCGCTTGGCGTCGTCATGTCCGAGCTGGACACGCACATGTTGCCGTACGAAGATGCTCGTGGCGCGGGGGGAAATCCATTGGCCGACGTCGCGATTCTTCAGCTCGTAGCTTCGGGTAAATTACTGCCGACGTTCAGCTCTATGTGTCCTGCAGAGCTTCACGACCTGGCGAGACGCTGCATGGCGTTTAACCCACACGAAAGACCCACAGCAGTCGAAGTGGCCTTTGCGCTGAGGACCCTTCAGAAATCTGGCGGGTTTAATTAAACTGGGTCTCTCATTGTTTTTTAAGATATTGACTCGCCAGATATTGATCACGCTCTGGCTATAATCCTTTTAGCACTCGCCAGATTATGATCGCCCTTGCCAGATCCTGGTACTCTGGCTAACTATCTTCCAGATCCTGGTACTCTATTATAAGATTATCATCCCACACTGCGTGTGAGTCGTTGGGTTGCTCTTTCTCGTTAATGTCGAAATGCAGGTTGCCACTCAACAAAACAAAACAGAGCGGAAGATTTGCAGGCCTCTAAATCTGAAACTGTCTACAAGTAGCTAAACATGGCTTCCAACAGCGAAATGCGGTTCAGGGCAAATGACAAGACCGCATCGCGCCATCTCTTTATTTATATGTTTGTATCGATGACTTGACTAATTATTTGGTAGCTGCAGCTTAACAATTAAATTTAGGCCATGTTTGCGAGTCAAATTTTGAAAACTAAAGGCATCGTACTATGCTTAGAAAAACGTTAATTTATCCAAATAAAAAGTTTCATGTGACCAAGTCGTCGTTGAGTACAGTATTTGGGTTACTGCCCCCGAAAACCCCTCATTTCCGGCCTCCTTGTCTGATTTAATTAGTGTTTAAAGATATATATCTTCTTTAACCCTTCTACACCGGCATTACGGATAATCCGGAATACAATTTATGGAGGTGTTATTATTCCGGGATCTCTGCTTCGCAAAATCTGTCATGTTATTTCCGCATATAGGTATTTGTATACATTAACTTTGGCAGGGTAAGCATCGAACCCGTGACATGATTTTTTGCGGGAAAGGGTTTGGGTTACTGTACAGTATAAGAATCCACAAGGCCGGGAGCCGTCCATTCCAAAATCAGCGGCCACCCAGACAGACCAACACTCTCAAGATGGAGAAGCCGTTCAAGCAAATTTGGAGAGAGCTGACCAAAAAAGGCTGGAAATCCAGACGGCCGAAGGGATTGAGCGTCGACTACACCTACGTACCACCCGAGGGAGATGCAAAGGGCGTTGAAGGTGTCGACTACTTCGTTGGTACGCTACCGACTTGTATTGCTGCGTTGAAAGTGCCTAACTGTTGCTGTGTATACAAAGGTGAAGTGAGTCTACTACGCTACTGCCGAAGCCAACGATGGCTGGAGCTACCTCCTCTACCAGCTTCAGTGCTTCCTCTCCAGACAGCAGCTTCTCTGGAAAGTGAACTACTGACTACTGTCCCCACCACAGGAGCCGGATTGGTGACTAATCATGAAGCGACTATTGCTACTTCTACGGTAGCCCCTCCCCTCCCCCAGGCTCAGACAAACCAACTGCTGCCGAGAATGATATCGCTAATTCCGGGAAGACCTCAACTGGCAAACGGAAGGCTAGCTCGACAGGAAGCAATGCATCGAGCAAGCGGCGCCGGACTGGTATGTAATCGCTGTCCTGGTCTGTCTGTTTGTTGCTAACGTATTCACGTATTACGGATTATACAGGCAGCACTGTTCCGGAGAGTAATGCTCCTGTTCCGGATAACACCGTACACTCTATTCCGGATATGACTGGAGCTCTTCAGGATAATGCCTCACGTGCTGTTTCGGATGGATCCGTTGATACTGCTCAATGCTCAAACGATCACTGTGAACGCCCAACTCCTGCCATTACCCTCGATGACTTTGACTCGGATAATTCCTTGGCTGCTCTTCGTCGAGACCGTCTCTTTGACAAAATTGATGATGAAGAACTCTACTTGGAGGAATGAGACTGGTTGCTATCTCTCGACTCTGATACCAAAGGAGATGAAGATAGCATTTTGCTGGACAAGGCCATGTGTGTGGG